ATTTCTTCAAATAGGTTTTCAATATCTTGCTCTCTCTCTCATTTTCTGGCACCCCTATAATTCTGATGTTGGTACGCTTGAAGCTGTCCCAGAGGCTCCTTACACTATCTTCGTATTTTTGGATTCTTTTTTCATTTTGCTTTTCTGGTTGGGTGTTTTTTGCTTCTTCGCATTTCAAATCTTTGACTTGATTCTTGTGCTCCTCTGGTCTGCTGTTGGGAGTCTGTATAACATTCTTTATTTCAGTCGGTGTATGCTTAGTTTCTAATTGGTTCTTTATCATAGCATCAAGTGTCTCATTAGATTTCTTGTAGATCTCATTAAGTTTATCGGCAGCTTCTAGACAGTTCTTGAGAGCCCTTAAAAGTGTGGTTCTGAACTCTATATCCTCCATGGACAATTTTGTCCTGTTTCTTTGTCTCCGCAATTTTTATGCTTTCTTGGTGCACCCCCTAGTGGTCTTTGTGCGCAGTCTTGTTGTAGTTAAGCCTTGATTGTTGTAGTTGATACTGGGGGGATTTGACCTCCAGGCCAACTGGCTGTGAGAATCAGCTGTGTCTGCAGTGGGAGAACTTCTGTCCTCTAGGGCGGTGCTAATCTAGTGTTTGCCTGAGGCTATCCGGCAAATGGCTCTGTGCTGGGCTTGGGCAGGACATGTCCCAGGGCGGGCGGGCGGAGGGAGCAGTTATGGCTGCTCTCAGTCCCGTCCCCAGAGGCTCTGCCTCTCAGAGTCCCAGCAACCGCTGCAAAACTCGGAGAGAAAGTTGCCCTCGCGTTCTGACCGATGCCAGACAGTCCCGCTTCTCCCGTTTGAGTCTGGGTCCCTAGAGACTTGCCCAGAACTGGAGCTCAGAGCCTGAGCCTCCCTCCCGATTGAAAAGGACAACCACGCCCTCAGCCACCAGCCCGCTCCTCGCGCACCTCTGCACCTTTGTATTTTCCTCACTGCACCTCCTCTGAGCCTCAGGATGCTGTTCTCTTTCCTTCTAGTTGAAGAACTTCCCCTCAGCCAGCTTTCCTGTGGTTCTGGGTGGTGTCCGTTCCGTCTTTTAGTTGTATTTTTGAAGTGGTTGTGAGAGGCAGCAAACTCCGGTGTTTACCTATGCCGCCATCTTGGTTCTCTCTGAATATTTGTTTTTATATTATTTTAGTAGCATATTTTAATGCACTGATAAATACATTAATTTTTGCATCTCTGATTTTTATAATTACTAAAGTTGTTTCTCACAACTACATTCCTCCATGTTGTGGGCTTCAAGATAGCTTCACATATTATCATGAAGTTAGCAAACCTTTTTAAAGAGGAGTTATAAAATGAAATTGCAAAAAATAGTTGGAGATGGTCTTTCCTATATAGTATTGCAATGTAATGTTACATTTTTATGTTACATACATAAAGAATTATATTCACAGATGCTCACTTATCTTAGATAAATATTATCTTTCAAGATAATTAAGGCTTTAAATATCTCAGTACTTCAGAAACTACAAAAAGTAGCATTAGTAAGTTTCTCTTCAGCATGCAGTTTCTTTAACTTCACTCAAAGAAGTTTTAGTCGTTATATGCCATTTCTTAAAATAACGGGAAATTCTAATACAATAAGCCTGCAGTGGCAGAAATAAAACATTAAAACTAAAGACATATAACATTATTAAATTATTATTTAATTAGGACTAAAACATATAAGCATAAAAATATATTAAAAAGAAAACAAAAAATCCGGGCTTAAAAGGGATAGTGTCTTTTTGGCCTACAGAAAGCATATCCACAGTAGCTTTCTTATTTCAGCAAATTAAAATGTTGATAAGAGCAGCTAAGCTGTAGAGAAGGGACTACATCAAAATAAAAAGCTTCTGCACAGCAAAAGACATCATCAACAAAATGAAAAGGGAGCCCACTGTATGGGAGAACGTATTTGCCAATGATAAGTGGGATAAAGAATTAATTTCTGAAACATATAAGGAACTCATACAACTTAAAAGAAAGACAAATAATCCAATTTTAAAAGGGCAAAGAATCTAAATAGACACTTCTCCCACATGGGCATACAGATGGCCAAGAGTCATATGGAAAAATGCTCAAAGTCACTAATCTTCAAAATATTAAACATAGGAAATCAATATGGTTCAGATTTTTCACTTCTGGATATATACCCAAAAGAAGCGAAAGCAGGGACTTGAACAATACTTGTATTCACATTTTCATAGTGACATTATTCACAATATCCAAAAGGTAGAAGCAATTCAGGTGTCCATCAACAGTTGAATGGATAAGATATGGTATGTTCATATGTAGAATATTATTCAGCATTTTTAAAAAGAAGGGGAATTCTGACATATGCTCCAACATGGATGAACTTTGAGGACATTATGCTAAGTGAGTTAAATCAGTCACAGAAGGACAAATAAAAACAATAGAGACAGAGAGTATAAAGTTTGTTGCCCAAGAACGGGGGGAGGGGAGAACAGAAAATCAGTATCTAATAGGTACAGAGTCTCAGTTTGGAAAGATGACAAAATTATGGAGATGGATGGTGGTGATTGTTACACAACAGTGTGGATGCACTTAATGCCACCACACTACATTTTTCAATGGTAAATTTTGTTATGTATATTTTACCACAATAAAAATATAAAAAAGAATTTACTTGAAACTTGGTGTTTGATTCCTTCTAGGACTGTTATTATTTTAAAGGATAAGCAAAAGGGGAATCCTTAGTAAAGAAGCCAGTTAGATGGCCAATGGTGAAAATGAAAATGTAGAACCTATAGGAAAAAATTTTTAAAAGTTGGAATCTTACGCCTAATTCATTTCCCAACACTTCTATATAGTTGGCTTGCAAGGATAAGATACAAGCATCTAACTGCACTGATGCAAAATGCCTATTCATGCCCAACCAGTCTCCATTTCAGTTCACCCCAAAACCTCTAGAAAGGTGCACATACCCAAAGCACCATCTATTGTGCCAAAGCCATGGTGAGTAGTCTTTGTTCTTCTAGTATTCCACTCAGCAGTGAATAAAGTCCCCAATGTTGCATCCAGAGCTCTCCACAATCAAATCTGTTCTGCCAGATGTATTCCCAAGAGAAGAATGTTTAATGTACTTATTTGTATAGCGAAGGGCAGTCTCTAAATTGTTAGCATAAAACAGGGTAGAGCTGGAAGGCTTAGAAGTAAAAGTTCATTATTTCACCTTTACTGGAAGATAAGAAAACAACCTTCCAGGAGTATTGTTTTTGTTAAGCACCTATATGCATTAGAAATATATATCCTGTTAACTGGAGGTAACTGTCTAAGCTGTGATTAACTAATCTGTTCTAAAAGTAGTAGAGTACAAAGACTGTTAAAATTTCAGGAAACATAATATTCAGATAATTTCCTTGCTCAAAATGCTCGTAATATTTCTTAATGATATTCATATAATGTCCTTGCCTAAAACAAGGTTATAATGATTTAGTATTAGTAAATTTACTCACAAAGAATTTAGCAACATAAATTAAATGATGAAATTCAAAAGGTTTACTTCATTGGAAAAACATAAAACAATATTTGTTTTTAAAAATGGTAGATGAACTACTCAATAGAAAAAAAAAGCATTGTTAAATATATTTCAGTTATCTAATGGTATTGTGTACTGAGTTATGTCTCCCAAAAATTCATATGTTGAAGCCCTAACCTCCAATGTGACTGTATTTGGAGATAGAGACTTTAAAGAGTTAATTAGGCTCAATGAGGTCATAAGGGTAGGGTACTGATCCAATATGACTAGTGTCCTCATAAAAATATAGATACAGAAACACACACAAGAAAACCCACATGAGGACACAGCAAGGAGGCAGCTGTTTGCAAGCCAAGGAGAAACAAGCCTCAGGAGAAACCAGCCATGCTAGCCTTAGACTGACAGACTTAGGAACTTTAAAAAATAAATCTCTGGCCTTTAAGCCAAACTGTCTGCGATAATTGTTTTGTTTTTGCTAATCCTCACCTGAGGATATTTTCCCATTGATTTTAGAGAGATTGGAAGAGAGAGGGAGAGACACACAGAGAGAGACATCAATGTTAGAGCGACACATCCATTGGTTGCCTCCAGCATGAGCCCCGACCAGGGCCAGGATTGAGCCTGCAATCGAACCCAGGACCCTTCAGAACACAGGCCAGATGCTCTATCCACTGAGCCAAATCAGCTAGGGCTGTCTGTAGTAATTTTTATGGCAGCCTATGCATACCAATGCAAATGACAAGTCAAAAGGAAAAAATAATATAGTGATATGAAAAGAGAGAAAAAGACAGAAAAGATGAGATAGACACATTCATACCCAAAAGAGAACACATAGGTGATGCAATAAACCCAGATATATATGCAGACACTGTGAGACACAATGTTGTAAAATGGCACTTTGCAATCTTTTAAGAAATTGTTGTTAAGGGTGTCAGAATCACGTTTCTTCTACTGTTGACATAGAGACATCTTAGAACTTGCCCTGATGAACAGATGAACTTAAAGTGAAACCCTGAATCCATTTTCAAGATGCAGATTCCCATATCCCTGTTTAGCGGGTCCTGTTTCACTAAACCAACAATGTGTGGTCATGAAATTGCCCTTGGAATTTTTAGTCCTCAAATTCTCACACTCCTAACAGATGTCTCCATTCTCCATTGGCCAACATGAGAGAATTTTCTTGATAGTCCATATACCATTATAAAAATGGTTGCTATTATATTTGGGGCAAACCATTGTGATTATTGCTTTGGCTATTAGTGTTCTTCAACTAAGAATTAATACAAATATGTTGGTGTTAAGGCGATCAACGGGATGTACATAAGATATGATAACAGAAATAAAGCAGTGATTCAAAAAAAAGATGAATTTTAATAAAGAATCATTTTAGGAATGAAATAGGTCCATAGTAAAAATTTTACATGCTATATCAAAATTAACCCAATAGTTTGCCAGAAAAAATGGTAATTCAATTCTATGTCCAGTTTTACAAATACTTACAGGACTATAGTCCGAGTCACTGGGAAAAATGGAATCAAGAGCCAGGCGGGAAGACTTTGCCGACACAATTCCTCTCCAATCACACAATGATTTTTCTGTTAGAAATATTATTGCAGGTTAAAACAATATTTATCCAGGAAAAGTACACACTGATCATACTGCTTAATATTACTAAGAGGAAAGTAAATCATCTTTATGGCCCCATTACTCTGTATTAAAATCACATCTTGTCATCTAATCAAAGAAATGGCGTGATAGCATTGCAGAGAGAGAAAGACTTCGATTAATTGGCTTGCGCAGACAGGAAAGCCCTCATGTTTTTATTGCATACAGTGTGCCCATCAGAAAATTAATAGGCTCCTTCTTCTAACTCCCTTCTCTTCAAAAACATTGATTTCTGTTTTAAAATGAGCTTAGAGCAAAATCATATTTGTGAACAGCACTTAAAAAATAAAAGGAAAATTCCTTCTCCTGTTAAGGTAAGTACTTTAAAAGAAAATTCACAATTATTATGAAGGCACACGTTTTGAAATTGCAAAATAAATGAAAGTATTAAAAGTATTTAAGGTAAACAGGTTGAGAGATCAGGTCTTTCTTCTCTATTGTGGCAGTTGTTACATGGATTTATAAGGAAAATGTGTACTTTTTTTTTTTTTAATGAGGAGTAGGTGACTTAAGATTTATTTCTCAGAAAAATAAATCATTTTAAAAAGAAAAAAAATAAATTCAATTCTGCCATTCAAATGAGTCAAATTATTTTCACAGTTCCACTTCTTTCTAATACATATGCATATACATATATTCTTTGCTGAACTTTCAATTCACTACAGTCATCCATAGACTAGCTAATCTATATATATGAAAGGCTAAGCAACCATCTGACCATCCGACGGTTCAACCGGCCGGTAGATATGACATGCAATGACCACCAGGGGACAGATGCTCAATGTAGGAATTGCTGAGCTGTGGTGACTTGGCAGTGGCGGTTCTCGGGTGACACACCCCATAACCAGAGAGGAGGGAGCCCAATTCCTCATGGGGCTGCATGATTCCACATTCGGCCATGGATTATGTGTTTTCTGGGGCACTGTCGGCCCTGAATCTGATTTACTGCACACTTGCATTTGTGTTCCACATCCTGTATGACAGCAACTTTTCAGAGTGCCCTCTCACACTCTGGGACTCCTCGGGGGATGTCAGAGAGCCAGTTTCAGCCCAATCCCCACAGGCCAGGCAGAGGGACCCCACCTGCTGGAGGGACCCCGCTCACTCCGCAGACACCCTTCAAGCCACAGCACCTCCCCAAGTGTGGCCCCCTGGGGAGGGACCGCAGGAGGTTGGCTCCAGAGCATGTCTGGCCTGTCTTGCCCAGTCCCGCCCCACCAGACACCTTCTAATTAATTTCTTTTCAATATGCATCAACCAGTGCATCAGGTTACTAGTTTTTATATAAAGTTAGATAAAACTCAAAATTAATAAATTCTTTCATTTCATTGCTTTCATTTCCTTTCAAGATCATAAGTTAAAGTATCTCATAGGGAGGCAGAGTAGTAACATAAAATAATAGGTGATGTTATCTCAGAGACATCCTAAACAAATGATACACACACAGCTTAGACCATTTTAATTTTATAGGTGTTTCTTTCATTTCAGTTTAAAAGACTCTTGACCTCTATTGGAAAGGCAAAATCTCTAGAAGAGGCATCTATATACATAAAAGCCTAATATGCAAAGTGTCCCCTCGGGAGTTCGACTGAACCAGGAATTCAATTGCTTGCTATGACATGCGCTGATCACCAGGGGGAGGTGCGGAACAAAGGAAGGCCCCACTTGGCAGCCTCTCGTGCACTAGGCCTCTAGTCATAATATAATCAAATGAAAGGTTTTATTATATATAAATTTTTCCTTTTTAGTGAATTTATTGGGGTGACACTGGTTAACAAAATTATACAGGTTTCAGGTGCACAATTCCACAACACATCATCTGTACACTGTACTGTGTGTTCACCACCCAAGGCAAATTTCTTTCATCACTATTTATCTCCCAGTACTTTCCTCCTCCTTCCTCTTCCCCACCTCTCCCTGGCAATTCCCACACTTTCCACGTCCATGAGGTTTTTGTTTTGTTTTTTATCTTTTTTCCCTTTTTTTCCCCTCAATCCTTCTACCTCCCCCAACCCTTCACACACCCCCAATAAAAAGCTATCAGAGTACTCTTTATCTATGGATCTCTCTCTCTCTCTCTTTTGCTTGATAGTTCATTTTGTTCATTAGATTCCAAATATGAGAGGAATCATAGGGTGCCTGTCTTTCTCTGAAAATAAATGTCAGTAATGGGAAGATTACAGAGAATCTGCAAATATATGTATCTGAGAAGTAAAAGGCCATACATCTTATACTTTGAGTACTCTTATAGATTCAGGAGTATCTATCTTCTTACCTAATAATAGACAAACATGCTAATTGACCATACCTCCGCTACACCTCCCATTGGCTAATCAGTGATATATGCAAATTAACTGCCAACAAAGATGGCGGCCGGCAGCCACGGAGCTGGAACGAGCAGGAGGCTTGCTTGCTCCAGTGATGGAGGAAACCAAGGTTCCCTGCTGGCCACGGCAGGCTCTAAGCTACACTCAAAGCAACAAAGTTTCAATTATAGAAGCTAAACAAACCCCAGATACCTGCTTTCAGCCAGCCTTGGCCACGGAGCTATAGCGCAGGAGGCTTTCCCTCCCACCCGCCCTGGCCAGCTCTGAGCGCCACTCAGGCAACAATGTTTCAATTATAGAAGGTAAATAAACCCCAGATACCTGCTTTCAGCCGGCCGTGGCCACGGAGCTGGAGCCTTGGGTTTCCCCTGGCGATGGAGGAAGCCAAGCCCTGGCCAGCTCTAAGCTCCACTCCAGGCTACAAAGTTTCAATTATAGAAGGTAAATAAATCCCAGAAAAAAAGGAAAAAAAGAAAAAAAGGACAGGCTGGGAGCTTCTGTCGCTGGGGAGGCTTGGACAGCCTGAAAACGGCCCTCAGCCCTTCACCCAGGCTGGCCAGGCACCCCAGTGGCACCCCAGTGGGGACCCCCATGCTAAAGGTGGTGTGGCAAGCCTGAACAGCCATAGGCCCCTCACCCAGGCTTGGCAGGCACCCCAGTGGCACCCCAGTGGGGACCCTTACCTGAAGGGCAAACCAGCCGGCCCCCACCCATGCACCAGGCTTCTATCCTATATAGTAAAAGAGTAATATACAAACTGACCCTAACAGCAGAAAGACTGGGAATGACTGGTCACTATGACACACACTGACCACCAGGGGGCAGATGCTCAATTCAGGAGCTGTTCCCTGGTGGTCAGTGCGCTCCCACAGGGGGAGCTCTGCTCAGCCACAAGCCAGGCTGATGGCTGCCAGTACAGTGGTGGTGGTGGGAGCCTCTCCCGCCTCCTCAGCAGCGCTAAGGATGTCAGACTACAGCTTAGGCCTGCACTCCACTGGCAAATGGACATCCCCCGAGGGCTCCCGGGCTGCCAGAGGGATGTCTGATTGCCAGCTTAGGCCTAATTCCCCAGGGAGCAGGCCTAAGCCAGCAGGTGGTCACCCCCTGAGGGGTCCCAGACTAAGAGAGGGCACAGGCCGGGCTGAGGGACACCCCCCGCCCCGTGCACAAATTTTTGTGCACCGGGCCTCTAATCCTATCTAATAATAGACAAACATGGTAATTAACCATTACTCTGACAGACTTCCTATTGGCTAATCAGGGCGATATGCAAATTAACTGCAACCAAGATGGCGGCCGGCAGCCAGGCAGCTGAAGCGAACAGGAGGCTTGGTTGCTCCAGTGATGGAGGAAGCCAAGGTTCCCCTCCTGCCGCTGCCGGCCTCTGAGCTGCACTCTAAGAAACAATGTTGCAATTGTAGATGCTAAACAAACCCCAGAAACCTGCTTTCAGCCAGTCGGGCCTCAGAGCTGGAGTTGCATCAGTGTTTCAATTATAGAAGCCAAACAAACCAAGATACCTGCTTTCATCAGCCGAGGTCTCAGAGCTGGAGCCGAGCCTCAGAGCTAAAGCTGGCTCTCAGTTCCAGTGACGGCCATAGAAGGTAAATAAATCCCAGAATAAAAAGAAAAAAAGAAAAAAAGGAGAGGTTGGGAGCTTCAGTCACCCGCCAGCTTGAAAACGGCCCTCAGCCCCTCATCCAGGCTGGCCAGACACCCAGGCGGGACCCCCACCCTGATCCGGGACACCCTTCAGGGCAATCCAGCCAGCCCCCACCCGTGCACCAGGCCTCTATCCTATATAGTAAAAGGGTAATATGCAAACTGACCCTAACAGCAGAAAGACTGGGAATGACTGGTCACTATGACACACACTGACCACCAGGGGGCAGACACTCAAGCAGGAGCTGCCCTCTGGTGCTCAGGGCGCTCTCACATGGGAGGGGCTCTGCTCAGCCATAAGCCAGGCTGATGGCTGCCGCTGGCGGGAGCCTCTCCTGCCACCTCAGCAGTGCTAAGGATGTCCGACTGCAGTTTAGGCCTGCTCCCCGCTGGCAAGTGGACATCCCCGAGGGCTCCTGGGCTGCCAGAGGTATGTCTGATTGCCATGTTAGACCCAATCCCCCAAGGAGCGGGCCTAAGCCAGCAGGTGGTCATCCCCTGAGGGGTCCCAGACCGCGAGAGAGCACAGGCTGGGCTGAGGGACCCCCTCCCCCCCCAAGTGCACAAATTTTTGTGCACCAGGCCTCTAGTATATATATAACAGGCTAAGCAACCAGCCGACCAGCCTGTAGGTATAATGCGTACTGACCACCAGGGGGAAGATGCTCAACTCAGAAGCTGCTGTGATTTCACCTTTGGCCATGAGTTATGCTGTTATTGGGGCACTGTCGGCCCAAATCTGGTTTACTGCACATTTGTGTTTGTGTTCTACACCCTGTAGGACAGCAACTTTGCAGAGTGCCCTCTAGCACTCCAGGACCCCTCAGGGCATGTTGGAGAGCTGGTTTAGGCCCAATCCCTGCAGGCCAGGCCGAGGGACCACACCTGCCGGGGAGACCCTTGCTCACTCTGCAGATGCCCTGCGAGCCCGTGTTCTGCCC